AAAGTATTAATATAACTTACAATAGTTATACAAAATACAAAAAAAAATAAAAAATACACTAAATCCGGCCGGGCCCGACCCCCTCAACCCGTAACTCGTACGGTTCAATTTTCACCCGGATGAACCTGAACCCGTTAAACCCGTTAAGCCCCAACCCGTAACCAACCAGGACCGTAACCCGTACGGGTCCAAAAAATAGCAACCCGCCCGGCCCGGCCCACCCGTTTAACACCCTTAGGCAGGAGTAGGAACAACACATTTGTTTAACAAATAATAGTAAAATTGATCAATTTCGCATAATCTAGGGACATCTTTGACCCTCTATTTAAAATTAAATACTTCTATCCATGAGCTTGACCAAACCGCTTTAAACCCCATTTCCCCCTCTCAGTGTCACTGTGAAGCATTATGGAGCCCACAGAGCTCAGACTAGCATTAGTGAAGCATCTAAAGCCAGACACAACTTCCCCTCTTACACACACACATGCAAACTAAGGCAGTGACATTTTCTCTCATCAATTGCCTTTCCAGGTTCCCTAAAAGCAGAACTAGCAGTAGTTACAACTAGTACACAAAATAGTCATTACTTCAAGACTGGTCTTACTCCTACAGTTGACTCTCTTTTTTTCTGTTATCTATTATCTATTATTATTATTATTATTATTATTATTATTATTATATATTATATATTATATATTATATTATATTATATTTATATTTTATTATATAGAAGAGAGGAGATGGTCGACCAATGGCATCTTTGCAATTTTAGCGTCTTTCTTTTTGCAATAATAATTGTATCATTAATTGTTGAATGAAACTTTAGAAGGATCGGATTTTTCATTCTCATTTCTAACTGGGAAAAAAAGAACAAACGCACCAGCAGCAACTCTTCTCTTCATCTTCTTATCTTGGTATGTTTACTTTTAATTTTTGCTCAAATTTCTTTCCTTTGCTTTCGATCTTTCTACTTTTTGGTCTACCTTTGTTGGATCTGTTTTGGTTTTTGCCCCTCTTTTGCTATTTCACTATTTTGCTTTTAAATTTGAGCGGAAGATTTTTTTGTCCTCATAAATAGGATCTTTGTATTGAACTATGTTCAGATTTTAAAGAAGTATTGCGAACATGTAACATAATTTACTTTTTATTTTCTTTAGATTGTGGCCTTATTTTTGTTTTAGGTATAATATGCTATTAATTGGCATGTTAAGTTTTTGGTCCGGCACTACAAAAAAATATGCTTCTACTCTCATAAAGTAAATCTTATTATTAAATATTTTTTCATTTCTTCTTTGTAATTGAGGAGTAGTTTTTGTTGTTGTAATCTTTTATGATAGATAAAAATATATCGATATTTAATCCTTGAATAAATAATTCTAGAAAAATAATAGAATCTTACTTTCAGTTACCCGCTGAGAAGATCGCTTGACGAAAAAATAAAGTTCTGAACTTTACAAGGTTTATCAATGATACATATGTACCGAGCTTATTCAAATCATGTTAGCAATAGCAAGTAAACATAAAAAAATTCTTTCTTTCAAATATAGATTCATATTTTGGTGGATCTTCTAACTGTAAGTGAAAAATAGTACCAATCTGGGCCTCTTTGATAGAAAAAAGTACTTTTGCACAAGTTTGTGTGTGTATATTACAATTGTCTGGTATTGGACTATGATAAATATCATTTGCTCGTAAACTCTTAGGATATGCACCATGCTAGAAAATGTCTTCTTAGTGATCTATATCGACCCATCAAATTAAAATATTTATAGACTTGGAGAACCTATTAGGGATTTCATGAGCTATGAGCCTACTTCAGTGGAAGAGACTCCTCTTCTAGCAAAGAGGTAGTAAAAATGCTTCCTTTTTATGCATGGAATGATAATTGATAAGGCGTCATTGACTAACCACATAGGTTTCTTCTTCGCTAATTTTTTTAAGGGCTCAGATATATACCAAGTCGCCAAATTTATAAGCAGCCACCTGCTACTCTGCTTTTCAGCATTTTCTTAATATCAACAAGTAGGCACGCTAAGCAGCATTATCCCCAATTTCAATGTGAAGCTCACCGTATTGCCACCATAATTTTTATTATAATAATGCATCTTTTAAAAAATTGTTCTTAAAGCTTCCCGAATAAGCCTCCCCCACCATTAGATGTCCTATGACAAATTTTGTAGCAGGACTTATAATGGTTGATTTGTAGTTCTTAGCTATCTATTTGGTTATTTTTGTTGTTACTGCTTGTTTATTTATGTGAAGTAACTACTAAATTAAGTACCATATTTTTTTTTGTGACATGTATCTCTTGAAATGTATGCTCCTCAAGTCCAGCATTCTTTCTGAAAGTTTTTTTGCTTGAGATCAACTTTAACGTATTGGTTTTTTTATTCTAATATAACCTGAAGGTTTTTCCTGGGCAGCATGGAAGTGGAATATCTAGAAAGTACTCTTGGTGGTACAGTAGAGATTTGGTGTTACAGTGGAGAGAATAATAATTATACCCAAATATTTTTATCTGCTTATAGCTCATAAGCTATTGGATGAAGAACCTGGTTATTCCTGTGTTATTATCATTTCGGAAAAGGGCCAAAATCGCCCTTAAACTATCCGAAAAAGATCACGTTTAAGCCCCGTTATGTTTTGGTAGCAATCACACCCCCACTATCTAATTTTCGGATCACATCTACTCTTACCACTAATAGTCCTCCACATCATATACCTAGGTAGAACAAAACCCACTAACCTTTTAACTCGACTCATATCTACAGGTAACAACTTTTAGCCATGTCAGAAATCTGGGACTCATGGTCGGTGGGTTTTTGGATCAACTCCAGCAGGTTTTCTCTAAGTTTTCACTTTTGATATGACATGTCTCATCCTTAAATTATTGTAGTGTTTTCAGGATGTAGCTTCTCCAGGATAGTGTGGGAACAAACATGCAAGGAATAGTTTTATAGAATGGAGCAAATTTTTCTTTGTTGAATTCACATGTTATGAAATTGCTTCTGTTGTTTCTATATGTTAAATTGGCTATTTAGAGATGGGACTGTGCTTCACTTCTGTGCCTGTATATTACTAGATTTTCTTTTCAAGGACTTATAGTTATTTACACGTCTCATTTATACATCTCAGGTACATGTGTTAAAATTTAACACACTGGCGCATGTCTCGATCCTAATTTTGTTGGAGCAATTTGAAAATGGAACTCTTATGGAGAAGGTGCGTATGAAAAAGTCGATAGGAATGTCATTTGTACGGTTAACATACGGAATGTGATTTGAAGATGGGAGCAAAATTCATTGTTCTTAAATTCACAGATTGTGAAATTGTATTATATACTCGAACGTATTATGTAGTCTTCTATGTTATACTCTATAAAAATTAGAACTGTGCTTATGTGTGTGTGGTATTATGGTTATTCTGAAACATTAATTGCTGTTTAGGTTTAGAATTCAATATATGTCCTCGGTGGATGCAACTACAGGCTAACAGAAATTATTGGGCCCGTGCTTTGCACGGGAAAGACTCATCTAGTATTATTAATACTGTATGTCATATCAGCATGCTCAAAAGGTCCAAAAGGCTGTCCCTTATTATTAGTTGGGGTCTTATAAGCATGCTTATCATGTCTTATAGCCTGACCCTTTTATTTAATACTAGTTTTTTCGCGTGTGTCGTGTATTCCATATCCATAGATATAAATGTTTTAAAAATCATATAAATATTATATTGAAATTAACCGTTGAATAAAAGTGAAAAGTAAAAATACAGGTACAAGAAACTAAGGATTGTTGATTTCATTTAACCAATTCAATAAAAGTTAAGCAAGAAGCTCTACCTTAGAAGTCAGCAATTATCTTAGAAATATATTCAATTTAAAATTTGGTCAAATTTTATTATTTTATTATTTCAATTTCACATATGATACTTCTTTTTTAGTTTAAAAAAAACAATATAACCCTTGCAGATTTAAAAATTTTTCTTAATTTTCTTGGAAAGCTATTTTGTTCTTTATCTTCAATACACAAACATGGTTAGCTGACCGAGAAAAGATATTTTTTTTTTTACTTTTCAGGCGAGCAAAGAAAATTACGCTATTTATTTAATATATATATATATATATATATACTTTTCCTTCATTTTGGAAAGAACCTTCTTTATCCAAGTACCTAACGGTGCACCGATATTCTCATTTTTTTGAAGCAAAAGTTTATGATTAAAATTGAATTACTTGCCGTTGGTAGATTCTGAAATGATTATATTAATACTATCTAAAAAGAAGTGAAAATATAAAGTTCATATTAAAATTAAAGTTAAAATTAAATTTAGTCTTTTAACCAATTTCTAAAGATATCATGTTTTAGTTTCCATGTGTATCTTTCATCAGTTCTCATTTTAATAGGAACTTTTTAAAATTAAGTCCGAATTCATAAAATAATTTTTTTAAATAAATTTTAGAATTGACCCTTTGATTCTTGGCTTGGTAGCCTAAATTAGAAAAATTGACCAAACTTTGATTTTTGTGAAAATGACCCCGGGACAATATTTTGATGGCTACGATAACTTTGTATCGTGATTTTGGACTTGGGTGTATGCCCCAAATTGAATTTGGAGGTCCGTAGGTTGATTTATGTTTTTTTGCTGAAATTTGGCAATTTGAAGTTAAAAAAGTTTGACCGTACATTGACTTTTAGCAAACGAGCTTGGGATTTATTTTTGGGGACTTGGAATAGGTCCATTATGCTATTTAGAGCTTATCTGAAATTTTTTTGTATCATTTGGACTTGAATTGATAGGGTTCAGACGCTTAGTTGCAATTCTAGAAGTTCTTGACCATTACTTTGAATTTATGCGTTTTAGTGTTCGATTCGTAGTTCTAGATGTTATTTTTGTGTTATAATCGCACGAGTGAGATCGCATGATGTTTTTAGACTTGTATGGATGTTTGGTTTGGATCCCCGGGGGCTTTATGATGAGTTTCAGACATGTTTCAGAATAAATTGAATTGAAAGCGAATTGTTGGTGTTGCTGATGCTCTGTTATCGCAATTGCGAGCACCAGCCTCACAATTGCGAAAGTGACAGGAGGTCTCAGATGTCGCAAATGTGACTTCCCTTTTGCATTTGCGAAGTTAGCAGGCCTAAGGGCTGGTTCACAATTGCAAGCAATTGGTCACATTTGCGATAGTGGCCAGCTTCGCAATTGGGAAGCCATTGTCGTAATTGCGACTTCTATGGGGCTATTAGGGTTCGCAAACGCAATCCCTGATTCGCAATTGCAAATGTGAACCCTTTGTCTCAAATGGGACATCTGTAGCTGGTCATAAAGGCTAGAAGATAAGATTTTTCAACATATTCTCTCTTTATAGAACCCTAGCTCGGTAGGAGGCGATTTGGAGAGGGAATTTTCATCTACAAATATTGGGTAAGTGATTCGAATCAATTTCCAACTATATATCATCAATATCTCTTAGATTAAACCTCAAAATCATGTTAATCAAAGTGCAAATTTGTGAAACTTTGTCAAGTTTTTGAAAAATAAGAATTTGAGTTTTGAAAGCCGATTTGAACTCATATTTTGAAACTAATCATATATATCAACTCATGCGATTATGGCTAGTCGGAGTTTGATCGGGTGAGCCCCGCGTTTATATTGTATAATTGCTTCCCTTGCATTATTTGATGATATTAAGTCGATTTTGGTTAGATTTGAGCCGTGTGGAGGCGAATTTTAGAGGAAAAGCTATTTCTAAGGGTTGAGCTGGCCTAGTTGAGGTAAGTATCTTGCCTAACTTTGTATGAGGGAACTACCCTTAGGATTTGGGATTAATTGTGTCATTTGTGCTATGTGATAGCCGTGTACACAAGGTGACGAGTGGGTACACGAGTTATATGTGGTACTTGATCAGTTTAGGCTACTTAGACTCTTTTCATGTTTTTATTGAATTGTCAAATCATGTTATAAATTCTCATAGTCAATATACTCTTACCTGTGTTAGTCTATCCTTACATGCCTTAAGTGACTTTGTTAACGCTTGTTCTACATCTTACTTGATATTTTGCTCTTATGATTTAGTTGAACATGTTGCCTCTTTTATTGTTACATGTTATTTCTTACATTGTTGATTTACCATTATTTGAACTCATCGTTACATATCGTCTCTTCTATTGTTTATTTATCATTATTGTTACATGTTATCTCTTTCATTAGTGGAAGCCGTTATTACATTGAGGCGAAGTGTTAATTGTTGAGATATCGTTCTTGTGAGAAATTTACATTCATTGTTATTGTTGATATTCTTGTACACATTGTGGTTGAGACATGGGCTATTGTTATGGAATCATTTATATTATTGGTTATTGGCAAGTTGTGACATATGGGCACTTGGGGTGCAAGTTGTTATTATGATATGATATTGATGCGCATGCGGCGGTATAAGGATATGGATTAATGTGCATGCGGCGTCATAAGGTGGACTTATGTACGTGTTTCTTGTAAGGGAATTACTTCAAACCGCACGACGTCATAAGGTGAGATAAAGTGCGTGTAGCTATTTCGTAAAACTATTTTCAAAACTATTTAAATGTAAGGCTCACGTGGCGGTATAAGGGAAGATTTTGTTTGAAATTGAGAAATGTGAATACGGGGTGGTACCTCGGTTGTGATTCTTGTTATATACGAGGCGGTACCTCGGTTGTGATTCTTGTTATATACAATATGGTACCTCGGTTATGATTCTTGTTATATACGATGCGATACCTCGGTTGTGATTCTTGTTGTAGACGAGGTGGTACCTCGGTCGTGATTCTTGTTGTGCATCTCATGTTGGAAAAGCGTTATCGGTGGAATAATTCTTGTTGTTTTATTCTTCTTCTCTTATTATTTTCTACTCGTATTCGACTATTGAGGTTCTCTTTAAATTGCTTCCTTTATGTTATCTCTATTCTTACTATTCAGACATTAATCTTTGTTATTAACTTGTTTCGTATCATTTATTTCTCCGTCTGCCTTTACATTTCATTATTATGTTTTCATTTTGCTATTTATATAGTAAGTGTCTTAACCTACCCTCATCACTACTCTACCGAGGATAGGATTGATACTTATTGGGTACCATTATGGTGTACTCATACTATGCTTCTACACATCTTTTTGCGCAGATCCCGGTACGTCGGCAAGTGCTGGACTTTGGTGTTGATTTTAGCTTTCATTCGGAGACTTCAAGATATACCTGCTCGATGTCCGCAGGCCTCAGAATCACCTTCCGTTACCCTTATTGTATTGTTATTTCCTTTATTAGATAGTGTTGTAGTAGGTTCTTTGGAACATTCTGTAGAAGCTTATGACTCGGTGTCACCGGATTTTGGGAGCATTGTAGTTGTGTTTAAGTTACCGAGATGTTTATGGGAATTGTTAGTTATGTTATGTCTTAGATTTTATTTATGTCATAATCTCTCATTGATAGGATTACCTAGTCTTAAAGACTAGGTGCCATCATGACATCCTAAGACGGGGAAATTGGGCCATGACAAGGTGGTATCAGAGATCTAAGTTCATAGGTGTTGCGAGTCATAAGCAGGTTTAGTATAGTATTGTGGATCAGTATGGAGGCGTCTGTACTTATCTTGGAGAGGCTACAGAACTGTTAGGAAAACTCCACTTCTTGACTCCTATTCGTGCAAATTAGTTGACTTCGAAAACAAAATCTTTGACTTTCTATTCTCTCATAGATAGTGAGGACATGTACTATGTACTACTGGATCCAAAATTTAGACACCCGCTCCCCCTCTAAAGACGCGAGAGGCTGGAGCCAGGGCAGAGGCTAATGATGGACATGTAGTGCAGCTAGAGCACCTACCCAAGCTGCGACAGAGGAGCCACCAATAGCTCCAGTTGAAGGATAGGCACCTGAGGCGTTTGTTGCCATCCCTGTACTTCAGGAGACCCTCGCACAGTTCTTGATCATATTTGGTACTCCAGCTCAGGTGGGATTGATTCCACTTGCACCAGCCACATCTCAGGCAGGGGAAGAGCTCAAACTCCCGCGACTCGTACTCCAGAGCAGTGGGTCCATGTTGATCAGGTCCTAGAAGTTATGCCAGCACAGCCTGTTGTTCTGGTTCAGCTCGAGGTTAGGGCAGGGGCATCTGAGGAGGAGCAACTTAGACTTGCGAGGTTCAAGAAGTATCATCCTGCTTACAGTGCCTTAAATTCAGAGGAAGCACATGGTTTTCTAGAGAAGTGCCACCGTATTCTCTGCACCATAGGTATTATGGAGATGAGCGGGGATGCTTTTACTAAATTCCAGCTGTCGGGAGCATCGTATTACTGGTGGAGGGCTTATGAGGAGAGTAGCCCAACCGATACAGCTTCACTTACATGGACTCAGTTTTTAGAGATGTTCCTGAGAGTGTTTGTTACCCAGACCCTTTGGGATGCATGGAGCATGGAGTTTGAGCAGCTACGCCAGGGTACTAT